TTTTGGGTTATTTTGGGGCCTTTTGGGGCGTGCCCAGGTGAGTCACAGGTGTGCCCGGTGAGGGAATTTGGGTCATTTTTGGGCCATTTTCAGCCATTTTTGGGGCCTTTTTGGGCCATTTCGGCTTATTTTGGGTTATTTTGGGGCTTGCCCAGGTGTGCCAGGTGAGGGGATTTGGGTCATTTTTGGGCCATTTTTGGGCCTTTTTGGCTTATTTTGGGACCATTTTGGGCTGTTTTGGGTTATTTTGGGCTGTTTTGGGTTATTTTTGGGTTATTTTTGGGCTGTTTTGGGTCATTTTGGGGTCGTTTTGGGTTATTTTGGGGCGTGCCCAGGTAAAGGAATTTGGGTCATTTTTGGGCCATTTTCAGCCATTTTTGGGCCATTTTCAGCCATTTTGGGGCCATTTTGGGTTATTTTGGGGCCATTTTGGGTTATTTTGGGTTATTTTGGGCCGTTTTGGGTTATTTTGGGGCGGGCCAGGTGTGAGCCCTGTGTCCCTCCCCAGGAAGATCCAGGAGGAGTCGCTCCGCACGTACCTGTTCACCTACAGCAGCGTCTACGACTCCATCAGGTGATTTTGGGGGGAAAAACCTGAAAAAAGGGCAAATTTGGAGGTGGAAATTGTGAGGTTTTGAGGTAAAAAATTGGGGATTTTCAGGGGGAAAATTTGGGAATTTTTGAGGTAAAAAATTGGGAATTTTGAGGTAAAAATTGTCAATTTTTCAACAAAAAAATTGCGAATTTTGAGGTAAAAATTGTGAATTTCTGAAGTAAAAAATGTGAATTTTTGAGGTAAAAGTTGGGAATTTTGAGGTAAAAAATGTGGATTTTTGAGGTAAAAAAAAATGGGAATTTTGAGGTAAAAAATGTGGATTTTTGAGGTAAAAAATGAGTAATTGTTAGGTAAAAAATGGTGAATTTTGAGGGAAAAATTGGGAATTTTCAGGTAAAGAACTGGGAATTTTTGAAGTAAAAATGTGGATTTTTGAGATAAAAATTGGGATTTTTTGAGGTGAAAAATGTGGATTTTTGAGGGTAAAAATTGGGAATTTTTGAGGTAAAAATTATGAATTGTAAGGTAAAAAAGTGTTGAATTTTGAGGGCAAAAATTGGGAATTTTTGAGGTAAAAATTATGAATTGTAAGGCAAAAAATTGGGAATTTTGAGGGAAAAAATTGGGAATTTTTGAGGTAAAAAATGTGGATTTTTGAGGTAAAAATTGGGAAGTTTTGAGGTAAAAATTATGAATTGTAAGGTAAAAAATGGTGAATTTTGAGCTAGAAATGTGTGATTTTTGATGAAAAAAGGGTGAATTTTGAGGGAAAAACTGGGAATTTTGAGGGTAAAAATTGGGAATTTTTGAGGTAAAAAATGTGGATTTTTGAGGTAAGAAATCAGGAATTTTAAGGAAAAAATTTGAATTTTGAGCTAAAAAGTTAAGAATCTTGAGGAAAAGTTTGGTGAATTTCAAGATTGAAAAAAGGGCAAAATTTGAGGTAAAAATTGATGAATTTTGAGCTGAAATTTTGGGAATTTTAAGGTAAAAAAGCACAAATTTTGAGGTATAAAAACCGTGGAATTTCATCCAAAAATTGTGAATTTTGCTGGAAAAACTGGGATATTTTAAAGTATATTTTTTTCTAGTTAAAAAGCTAAAAAATGTTGAATTTGGAGCTAAAAAATGTTGAGTTTGGAGGTAAAAAAATGCAAATTTTGGGTTAAAAATGATGGAATTTGGCGTCCCCAGCATGGAGACGCTGGCGGCCATGTTTGAGCTGGACCTGCCCACGGTGCACGGCATCATCAGCAAGATGATCATCAACGAGGAGCTGATGGTGAGGGCCGGGGACACCTGGGACAGGTGTGGTGGCACCTGGGGACAGGTGTGGTGGCACCTGGGACAGGTGTGACCTCACCTCTGGGGTGGTTTGGGGTCAATTTGGGTGATTTGGGGCCATTTTGGGTCAGTTTACGGCAGTTTTGGGGTTACCTGTGGGGCCAGGTGTGGCTTCACCTGGGGACAGGTGTGGCCTCACCTGGCAGATGATTTGGGGTCAGTTTGGGTGATTTTGGGTCAATTCGAGGTCATTTTGAGTCAATTTAGGGCAATTTTGGGGTTACCTGTGAGGCCAGGTGTGGCTTCACCTGGAGACAGGTGTGACCTCACGTGGGGGGTGATTTGTGGTCAGTTTGGGTGATTTGGGGTCAATCTGGGGCAGTTTTGGAGCCATCTTGGGCCGGTTTTGGGGTTACCTGTGCAGCCAGGTGTGGCTTCACCTGGGGACAGGTGTGGCCTCACCTGCGGGGTGATTTGGGGTCAGTTTGGGTGATTTTGGGTCAATTCGAGGTCATTTTGGGGGGTGGTTTGGAGTCAATTTGGGTGATTTGGGGTCAAATTTGGGCCATTTTGGGTCAGTTTAGGGCAGTTTTGGGGTTACCTGTGCGGCCAGGTGTGGCTTCACCTGGGGACAGGTGTGGTGGCACCTGGAGACAGTTGTGGTCTCACCTGGCGGATGATTTGGGGTCAATTTGGGTGATTTTGGGTCAATTTGAGGTCATTTTGGGTCAATTTAGGGCAGTTTTGGGGTTACCTGTGCAGCCAGGTGTGGCTTCACCTGGGGACAGGTGTGGCCTCACCTGCGGGGTGATTTGGGGTCAGTTTGGGTGATTTGGGGTCGTCAATTTGGGTGATTTGGGGTCGATTTGGGGCCATTTTGGGTCAGTTTAGGGCAGTTTTGGGGTTACCTGTGCAGCCAGGTGTGACCTCACCTGGGGACAGGTGTGGTGGCACCTGGGGGGCGATTTGGGGCCATTTTGGGTCAGTTTAGGGCAGTTTTGGGGTTACCTGTGCAGCCAGGTGTGACCTCACCTGGGGACAGGTGTGGTGGCACCTGGGGGGTAGTTTGGGGTCAGTTTGGGTGATTTTGGGTCAATTTGGGGCCATTTTGGGTCAGTTTAGGGCAGTTTTGGGGTTACCTGTGCAGCCAGGTGTGACCTCACCTGGGGACAGGTGTGGTGGCACCTGGGGGGCGATTTGGGGTCAGTTTGGGTGATTTTGGGTCAATTTGGGGCCATTTTGGGTCAGTTTAGGGCAGTTCTGGGGTTATCTGTGCGGCCAGGTGTGACCTCACTTGGGGACAGGTGTATTTTGGGTCAATTCGAGGTCATTTTGGGTCAGTTTAGGGCAGTTTTGGGGTTACCTGTGCGGCCAGGTGTGGCTTCACCTGGGACAGGTGTGGTGGCACCTGGGGGGTAGTTTGGGGTCAGTTTGGGTGATTTTGGGTCAATTTGGGGCCATTTTGGGTCAGTTTAGGGCAGTTCTGGGGTTATCTGTGCGGCCAGGTGTGACCTCACTTGGGGACAGGTGTGGCCTCACCTGGTGGATGATTTGGGGTCAGTTTGGGTGATTTTGGGTCAATTTGGGGCCATTTTGGGTCAGTTTAGGGCAGTTCTGGGGTTATCTGTGGGGCCAGGTGTGACTTCACCTGGGGACAGGTGTGGTGGCACCTGGTACAGGTGTGGTGGCACCTGCGGGGTGGTTTGGGGTCAATTTGGGTGATTTTGGTTCAAATTGGGGCCATTTTGGGTCAGTTTAGGGCAGTTCTGGGGTTATCTGTGCGGCCAGGTGTGACCTCACTTGGGGACAGGTGTGGCCTCACCTGGTGGATGATTTGGGGTCAGTTTGGGTGATTTTGGGTCAATTCGAGGCCATTTAGGTCAACTTAGGTCAGTTTTGGGGTTTCCTGTGGGGCCAGGTGTGACTTCACCTGGGGACAGGTGTGGTGGCACCTGGTACAGGTGTGGTGGCACCTGCGGGGTGGTTTGGGGTCAATTTGGGTGATTTTGGTTCAAATTGGGGCCATTTTGGGTCAGTTTAGGACAATTTTGGGATTACTTGTGGGGCCAGGTGTGGCTTCACCTGGGGACAGGTGTGACCTCACCTAGGGAGTGATTTTAGGTCAATTTGGGTGATTTGGGGTCAATTTGGGGCCATTTTAGCTCAATTTGGGGCAGTTTTGGGCTTACCTGTGGGGCCAGGTGTGGCGTCACCTGGGGCCAGGAGTGACCTCACCTGGGGGATGATTTGGGGTCAGTTTGGGTGATTTTATGTCAATTTGGGTGATTCTTTTGGTCAATTTGGGGCTGTTTTGGGGTTACCTGTGCAGACAGGTGAGGGCGTGTCTCACCTGGCCACACCTCCATCCACACTGGAGTGGGAGACCCCTTTTGGGGTGGTTTGTGGCCATTTTGGGGTGGTTTGCGGCCATTTTTGGGTGGTTTGCGGCCATTTTGGGCAGGTTTCAGGTGGGTTTTTTTGGGGTTACCTGCAGCACAGGTAACCTCACCTGTGCACACCTTTAGGCCTCGCTGGACCAGCCCACGGCCACGGTGATGATGCACCGGACGGAGCCGACGGCCACGCAGAACCTGGCGCTGCAATTGGCCGAGAAGTTGGGCAACCTGGTGGAGAACAACGAGCGGGTGCTGGACCAGCGGCAGGGCGCCTACGGGGGCTACTTCAGAGGTGAGCACACCTGGGCACACCTGGGCACACCTGAGGGACTTGGGGATACACGTGAAGGGGGTGGGACACACCTGAACACACCTGGGGACACACCTGGGGGAAGTGAGATAGAGCTGGGGCACACCTGGGGATACCTGGGCACACCTGAGGTACTTGGGGACACACCTGAGGAGTACACCTGGGCACACCTGGGCACACCTGAGGTACTCGGGGATACACCTGGGTTACTCAGGGACACACCTGGGGTAAGTGGGATAGAGGTGGGGCACACCTGGGGATACCTGGGCACACCTGAGGTACTCTGGGACACACCTGAACACACCTGGGTTACTCAGAGATACACTTGGAGAAATGTGGAGGTGTCTGGGGTACACCTGGGCACACCTGAGGGACACCTGAGGGACACCTGGGGATACCTGGGCACACGTGAGGGACTCGGGGATACATCTGAGGAGGGGTGGGACACACCTGAACACACCTGGGTTACTCGGGGACACACCTGGGGGAACGTGGAGGTGTCTGGGACACACCTGGGGATACCTGGGCACACCTGAGGTACTTGGGGATACACCTGAGGGTACTTAGGGACACACCTGGGGGAACGTGGAGGTGTCTGGGACACACCTGGGGATACCTGGGCACACCTGAGGTACTTGGGGATACACCTGAGGGAGGTAGGACACACCTGGGTTACTTAGGGACACACCTGGGGGAACGTGGAGGGGTCTGGGGTACACCTGGCATACACCTGGGCACACCTGAGCCCCACCCCGCTCTCACCTGTCCGTGTCTCCCTCCAGACCAGAAAGATGGCGGATACCGCAAGGGCGACGGGTACCTGCGGCGCGGCGGCTTCCGGCAGGAGCGCAGCAACTACTGACCCGCACCTGGCCCAGAGAGACACACCTGGCCCACAGCGGGACCCTCACCTGCCCCACAGACCCCTCACCTGCCCCATGGATCCCTCACCTGTCCTACAAACCCCTCACCTGGGCAAAGAGTCCTCACCTGCCCCGCAGAGGCCTCACCTGCCCCACAGACCCCTCACCTGCCCCACAGATCACTCACCTGTTACACCGAGGGTCCTGCCGTCGGAAAGCAATAAATGAATTATTAAAGAGTGCGTTAATGAGGTGTTAATTGATGTGTTAATGAGGGGCGGGGCGGGGCCTGCCTCATAGATCCTCGCCCTGCTCCGTAAGTGACCCCAAATCTTCTCCCCTCACGTTTTCCCGCCTTTTTTCTCCCCTCACGTTTTCCCGCCTTTTTTCCTCCCCTCACGTTTTCCCGCCTTTTTTCTCCCCTCACGTTTTCCCGCCTTTTTTCTCCCCTCACGTTTTCCCGCCTTTTTCTGCCATCATGGCTTCCCTTCATCCCATTTCCTTACGGTTTTTCTCGTGATTTTTCTTCATTCCGTCTCCTCATGGCCGCCCTTTCTCTCATCTCCTTCATCCTCTCCTTTCGTGGCTCCCACCGTTTTTTCCTCTCAAGGATCGAGCTGTTTTCTCCTTTTACAATTTCCTACCATTTCCTTCCCTCACAGCTTCTCTTTTTCCTGTCCCTTCACAGTTTACTGCCATTTTGTTCCCTTGCAATTTCCCGCCATTTTCTCCCCTCATGGCTTCCCTTCTCCCTACCCCCTCACAGTTTTCCGCCATTTTCTGCCTTCATGGCTTCCCTTCTCATTCCCTCATGGTTCCCACCATTTTGTCCCCTCATGGCCTCCCCGTTTTCTTGTCCCTTCATGGCTTCCTTTCTTTGTGTCCCCTCATGGCTGCCCAGCCTCAGGGCTTCATGTCATTTTTGTCCCCTCATGGTTTCCCTTCACGTTATCCTCTCATGGCTGCTCCACCTCTTCCTCCCCTCATGGCCTCCCTCCATTTTCTCCCCTCACAGCTTCCCCCCCATTTTGTCCCCCTCATGGTTTCCCGCCATTTTGTCCCCTCACATTTTCCCTCCATATTTTCTCCCTCATGGCTTCCCTCCATTTTGTCCCCTCTGTGCCACCAACAGATTCTGCCCCATAACTCTTAATTAAAAAAACACAATTACTTAAAATCCTTAAATAATTAATTATCCCTCATTAATTAATGGTATCCCCTCCCCTGCAACTTTCCCCAGAGATTCTGCCCCATTTTAAGAAAATTAATTAATGGACTGATAAAATTGTGAATTAATTAAATGATTACTTAGTAATTTACAATTTATTAGTGAGCAGCAAGGGGGTGTCCCCTGCCCAATAATCTGCCCCATAACCTCCAGCACAACTCCCCATTTTGATAAAATGAACTAATTTAAAGATGAAAACATGAATTAATTACTTTAAATTATTAATTAATTAATCAGCCCTGGTTAATGAGCAACAAGGGGATGCACCCTCCCCCATAACGGTGCCCCAAAAAACATTCAGCCATTAATTACTCATTAAAAAAAACCCTGGTTAATGAGTGACAAGGCTGGGGGAGGGGCGGCTTTGCCCCTCATTAATCCCTCACTAATTAACCCCGTTAATGAGTGACTTGAAGAGGAGGTTGGGGGATAAATTCATCCCTCCCCACCTCCCTCAGGGTCCTCCTGGGGCCGCCATGGGGCAGGGGGGGTCCCTGTGGAGATCTATGGGGCAGGGGAGATCCTTGGGGGGATTTATGGGGGGATCTGTGGGGCAGGGGAGATCCCTGGTAGGATTTATGGGGGGATCTATGGGGCAGGGGAGGTCCCTGGTGGGATCTATGGGGCAGGGGAGATCCTTGGGGGGATTTATGGGAGGATCTATGGGGCAGGGGAGGTCCCTGGTGGGATCTATGGGGCAGGGGCACTCTGGGGGTCGATCTATGGGGCAGGCAGAGACCAAAAGTTGGAGGGGGTCCCTGTGGAGATCTATGGGGCAGGGAGGATCTGTGGGGCAGGAGAAGCCTGGGGGTAAATCCGTGGGGCAGGAGGGGTCTCTGGGGGGATCTATGGGGCAGGAGGGGTCAGAAGATGGGGAGGGGTCGCCATTGCAGGAGCAGGTGCAGGAGCAAGTGAGGGATGGCCGGGCCCTGGCGGCCCTGGGATGGTGGGAGCTGCTCCGGGGCCTGCTGGTGTTCGCCCTCTGCTCCCACCCCCGGCTGCAGCAGGACCCTGAGGCGGTGAGACCCCCTCCCCAAAAATGGGGACCCCCCCACACCCCAATTAAAGACCCCTGACCCATAGAGACCTCCCCCCCCATAACCACATAGAGGCACCCTCAGGGCTTCCCGCCATTTCCTGCCCTCACAAACTGCCCCATAAGTGACCTCCAAACCCCTCCCTTGCCCCGTAATCCCCCCCAGCCCCATAAGTGACCCCTAAATCTCCAAACCCACCAATAGTCTCTGCCCCATAACCTGCTCCCAAACCCCATAAGTGAACCCCAAAACTCGCCCCTGTTCCTCACAGTCATGGCGGGTCCTGGGCTGCGTCCCTCTGGAGCAGCTGTGGGGGGAAAGTGGGGCATCCCCTTCATCCAGTTCCTTCATGGCTCCCCTGGATTTTTCCCTTAGGGATCAGGCCTTTTTGTCCTTTCAGGGCTTCCTTTCTTCCTGTCCCCTCACTGTTTCCCGTCATTTTCTTCCTTCATATTTTCCCGCCATTTCCTCCCCTCACTGTTTCCCGCCCTTTGCTCCCCTCACACTCCCCCTCCATTTCCTCCCCTCACATTTGCCCACCATTTTCTCCCCTCGGTTTCCCTCCATTTTCTCACCTCACACTTTCCCACCATTTTCTCCCCTCACACTTTCCCTCAATTTCCTCCCCCACACTCCCCCATTTCCTCCCCTCACTTTCCTGCCATTTCCCTCCCTCACACTCGCCCTCCATATTCTCCACTCACACTTTCCCACCATTTCCTCCCCTCACTGTTTCCTGCCATTTTTCCCCTCACATTTCCCCTCCATTTCCTCCCTTCACACTCCCCCATCATTTTCTTCCCTCAGTTTCTCACCATTTTCTCCCCTCACACTCCCCCGCCCTTTTTCCCCTCATACTTTACCTCCATTTCTCCCCTCACACTCGCCCTCTATTTTCTCCCCTCACACTTTCCCTCCATTTCCCTCCCCTCACACTTTCCTGTCCTTTTTCCCCTCACACTTTCCCAGCCTTTTTCCCTTCACACCTCCCCACCATTTTCTCCCCTCACACTTTCCCACCCTTTTTCCCCTCACACTTTCCGCCCTTTCTCCCCTTTTTCCCCTCACACTCCCCGGCCATTTTCTCCCCTCACACTTTCCGCCATTTCTCCCCGCACACTTTACCACCCTTTTTCCCCTCACACTTTCCCACCATTTTCTTCCCTCACACATTCCCTCCATTTCCTCCCCTGACACTCCCCCCTTTCCTTCCTCTCACAGTTTCCTGCCATTTTTTCCCCTCACACTCCCTGGCCATTTTCTCCCCTCACACTTTCCCGCCCTTTTCTCCCCTCACACTTTCCCCCCCTTTTTCCCCTCACACTTTCCCGCCCTTTTCTCCCCTCACACTTTCCCGCCCTTTTCTTCCCTCACACTTTCCCCCCTTTTTTCCCCTCACACTTTCCGCCATTTCTCCCCTCACACTTTCTCCCCTTTTTCCCCTCACACTCTCCGGCCATTTTCTCCCCTCACACTCCCCCACCATTTTCTCCCCATCCCACCCCAATCTCCCCCATTCCCCACAGTTCCTGCGGGCTTCCCGCCGGGTTCTGGGTGCCCACCTATGGCGGGCCCTTCTCTCCGTGTCCCTTTGGGGACAGTTTGCGGTCGGCCGGAGCCCGGCGGCCGTGCAGGAGCTGGCCCAGCGGCTCCGGGCTCGTGGCCTGCGCCCTTTGCTGGCCCTGCCCATCGAGGGTGAGGGACCCGACGGCGAGGGGTGAGTTGGGGTCACCTGTGGGGTATAGGGGTCACTTATGGGGTTTTGGGGTCATTTATGGTGTGTGAGGGTCACTTATGGGGTTTTGGGGTTACTAATGGTGTCCTGGGGTCACTTGTGGGTTACTTATGAGGTTTTGGGGGTCACTTGTGGGGCAGTTTTGGGGTCACTTATGGGGTTTTAAGGTCACTAATGGTGTCCTGGGGTCATTTGTGGGTCACTTATGGGGGTTTAGGGTCACTTATGGGGTTTTGAGGTCACTTAAGGGGTTTTAGGGTCACTTGTGGGTCACTTACGAGGTTTTGGGGGTCACTTGTGGAGCAGTTCTCGGGTCACTTATGGAGTTTTAGGGTCACTTATGGCATTTTAGGGTCACTTGTGGGTCACATGTGGGGTTTGGGGTCACTGATGGGCTTGGGGTCCCCTGTGGGGCAGCGAGGCCTGGTTTGAGCAGAACTGTGGGGCAGCCCTGGAGTGTGTGGGGCTGGCGGCCGCCTCGGGCCCCGAGCCCGCCATGCAGCTGAAGGTGACGGCGCTGCTGAGCCAGCAGCTCTGCGTGAGTGGGGCAGGGGTCTGTGGGGTGGGATCTGTGGGGTCTGTGGGGCAGGGATCTGTAGGGCAGGGGGGATATGTGGGATCACTGGGGCAGGGAGATCTGTGGAGTCTATGGGGTGGGATCTGTGGGGTGGGATCTGTGGGGTGGGGATGTGGGGCAGGTGAGGGATCTATGGGGCAGGATGAGGATCTATGGGGCAGGATGAGGATCTATGGGGCAGAATTGGGATCTATGGGGCAGGTAAAGCATCTATGGGGCAGGTGAGGGATCCATAGGGTAGGATTGGGATCTGTGGGGCAGGTGAGAGATCCATGGGGCAGGTAAAGGATCCATGGGGCAGGTGAGGGATCCATGGGGCAGGTGAGGCCTCTCTGGGGCAGGTGACGCCCCTCAGCTGAGCCCCCTCTCTGGCCACGCCCCCTAGGAGAAAATATCACTCCGATTGGCCGAGCCGGAAGGGGCGGGGCTTAACCCAGAAGAAGTGGCGGCCATGTTGGGAGGCCAGGTAACCCCTCCCCAATTGACCACGCCCCCCTTTTTACATGGACCTATTTACATATACCACGCCCCTTTACCTGGGCCACGCCCATTCACCTGGGCCACGCCCCCTCCCTGCAGGTGCCGGAGCTCACCTGGCTCAGCCCGGCCGAGAACGAACACCTGGGGAGGGGCCTGAGGAGGCTGGAGCGGGTGGCACAGGTGAGGGGGAGGGGCAGGGGAGTCACCTGCGCTCACCTGAGGGGTCTCAGGTGAGTTACCTGTGCTCGGCCAGGTGGCGAAGGTGGCTCAGGCACACCTGGGACACACCTGGGACACCTGGAAATGGCGGGAAAAGTGGGGTAAGGACACCTGAGACACACCTGGGGACACTTGAGCTCACCTGGGCACACCTGAGACACACCTGAAACCCCACCTGGAACACACCTGGGCACACCTGGGCACATCTGGAAATGGTGGGAAAAGTGGGATAAGGACACCTGAGACACACCTGGGGATACCTGGACACACTTGGGCTCACCCGGGCACACCTGAGCTCACCTGAGCCACACTAAGACACACCTGAGCTCACCTGGGGACACCTGGGGACACCTGAAATACACCTGGATGCACCTGGGCACACCTGGGCACACCTGGGGACACACCTGAGCTCATATGAGCCACACCTGGGGACACCTGGGCACACCTGGAACACCTGGGCACACTTGAAACCCCACCTGAAACACACCTGGGCTCACCTGAGCTCACCTGGGCTCACCTGAACACACCTGAGTTCACCTGAGAGACACCTGAGCTCACCTGGGCACACCTGGGACACACCTGAGTTCACCTGAGACACACCTGGGCTCACCTGAGCTCACCTGGGCTCACCTGGACCCACCTGAGCTCACCTGGGCTCATCTGGGCACATCTGGGACACACCTGAGTTCACCTGAAACACACCTGGGCTCACCTGAGCTCACCTGAGCTCACCTGGACACACCTGGGCACATCTGGGCACATCTGGGACACACCTGAGCTCACCTGGACACACCTGAGCTCACCTGGGCTCACCTGAGCTCACCTGGGCTCACCTGAGCTCCCCGCCCCGCAGGCCGCCGTGGCCCGGGCCGTGCAGGTGCTGGTGGACGCCGAGATGTCTCACCTGAACCCCGCCCTCACCTGCCTCACCTGCGGGCTGATGTGGAGGCACAACCGGGACGGGCCCCGCCCCCACATCTGGAACACCTGGCAGGCCTACCTGAGGGTGAGCACACCTGGGGCACCTGGGGGGTACCTGGGGATCATTTTTGGGTACCTGGGCACACCTGGGGGGTACCTGGGCACACCTGGGCACACCTGGGATACACCTGGGATACACCTGGGCACAGCTGGGGGTACCTGGGCACACCTGGGGGCACCTGGGGGCACCTGGGCACACCTGGGCACACCTGGCGGGCTCCAAACACCTGAGCTCACCTGGGCTCACCTGAGCTCCCCGCCCCGCAGGCCGCCGTGGCCCGGGCCGTGCAGGTGCTGGTGGACGCCGAGATGTCTCACCTGAACCCCGCCCTCACCTGCCTCACCTGCGGGCTGATGTGGAGGCACAACCGGGACGGGCCCCGCCCCCACATCTGGAACACCTGGCAGGCCTACCTGAGGGTGAGCACACCTGGGCACACCTGGGGCACCTGGGGGGTACCTGAGGAACATTTTTGGGTACCTGGGCACACCTGGGGGGTACCTGGGCACACCCGGGCACACCTGGGGGTATTTTAGACACACCTGGGGCACATTTTGGGTACCTGGGGCACACCTGGGCACACCTGGGCACACCTGGGGGTATTTTAGACACACCTGGGCACACCTGGGACACATTTTGGGTACCTGAGCACACCTGGGCCACACCAGGGCACACCCATCCCCTCCCCCAGGAGATCGAGGCTCACCTGGGCACACCTGGGGGGTACCTGGGCACACCTGAGCACACCTGGGCACACCTGGGCACACCCATCCCCTCCCCCAGGAGACCGAGGCTCACCTGGGCACACCTGGGGGTATTTTAGACGCACCTGGGACATATTTTGGGTACCTGGGACACACCTGGACACACCTGGGATCACCTGGGGTTATTTTAGACACACCTGGGACATATTTTGGGTACCTGAGCACACCTGGGGGGTACCTGAGCCAGACTTTGGGGTACCTGGGCACACCTGGGGGTATTTTGGACACACCTGAGCACACCTGGGGCACACTTTGGAGTTCCTGGGCCACACCTGGGCCACACCTGGTACCTGGACACACCTGGGATCACCTGGGACACATTTTGGGTACCTGGGCACACCTGGGCCACACCTGGGCACACCCATCCCCTCCCCCAGGAGACCGAGGCTCACCTGGGTGCTCACCTGGGCACACCTGGGGGGTACCTGAGGCACATTTTGGGGTACCTGAGCACACCTGGGGCACATTTTTGGGTAGCTGGGGCACACCTGGGGCACACCTGGATGTACCTGGGCACACCTGGGGGGTACCTGAGCCAGACTTTGGGGTACCTGGGCACACCTGGGCACACCTGGGGCACACCTGGGGGTACCTGGGCACACCTGGGCACACCTGGGACACACTTTGGAGTTCCTGGGACACACCTGGTCACACCTGGGGGGTACCTGAGCCAGACTTTGGAGTACCTGGGCCACACCGGGGGGTACCTGGGCACACCTGGGCACACCTGGGCACACCTGTCCACCCCGGTCCCCTCCCCCAGGAGACCGAGGCTCACCTGGGCACTCACCTGGGCACACCTGGGGCACACCTGGGGCTATTTTAGACACACCTGGGGCACATTTTGTGTACCTGGGTCACACCTGGGCACACCTGGGTTCGCCTGGGGCTATTTTAGACACACCTGGGCACACCTGGACGTACCTTAGGCACATTTTGGGGTACCTGGGCACACCCGGGCTCACCTGTCCACGCCCATCCCCTCCCCCAGGAGACCAAGGCTCACCTGGGCACACCTGGGCACACCTGGGCACACCTGGGCTCACCTGTCCACCCCCGTCCCCTCCCCCAGGAGACCGAGGCTCACCTGGGCGCTCACCTGGGCACACCTGGGGGTACCTGGGCACACCTGAGCCAGACTTTGGGGTACCTGAGCACACCTGGGGCACATTTTGGAGTAGCTGGGCACACCCGGGCTCACCTGTCCACCCCCGTCCCCTCCCCCAGGAGACCGAGGCTCACCTGGGGGTACCTGGGCACACCTGAGCCAGACTTTGGGGTACCTGAGCACACCTGGGGCACATTTTGGAGTAGCTGGGCACACCCGGGCTCACCTGTCCCCTCCCCCAGGAGACCGAGGCTCACCTGGGCGCTCACCTGGCGCAGGTGGGCGGGGCCGGGCTCACCTGCGGGGTGAAGTTGGTGCGCGGCGCGTACCTGGAGCAGGAGCGGGGCCGGGCCCGCGCCCAGGGCCGCCCCTCCCCCACCTGGGACTCACCTGAGGAGACCTCGGCCAGGTGGGGGAGGGGCGGAGCTGGGGGAGGGGTTTTGGGGGGGAAATTTTGGGTTAAATTTGGGTGAATTCCGCGTGAATTTTGGGTTAAATTCGGGTTATTTTGGGGTGAATTTTGGGTGAATTTTAGGTGATTTTTGGGTTAATTTTGGGTTAATTATGGGTGAACTTTCTGTTAATTTTGGTTAAATTTTAGTTAAAATTTGGGTGAATTTTGTGATAATTTTGGGTTAATTTCACGTAAATTTTGGGTGAATTTCCTCTGATTTCAGGCTGATTTTTGGGTGAATTTTGGCTGATTTTGAGCTGATTTTGGGCTGAATTTTGGGGTGACTTCTGCTGATTTTGGGGTGAATTTTGGGGTGACTTCTGCTGATTTTTGGGTGAATTTTGGGCTGATTTCTGCTGATTTTGGGGTGAATTTTGGGCTGATTTCTTCTGATTTTTGGGTGAATTTCCTCTGATTTTTGGGTGAATTTTGGGCTGATTTCTGCCAATTTTTTTGTGAATTTCCTCTGATTCTGGGCTGATTTTGGGGTGGATTTTGGGCTGAATTTTGGGGTGAATTTTGGGCTGATTTCGGGCCGATTTCTGCTGATTTTTGGGTGAATTT